GACACTCGGTCTCACGCTTTGCCTCTCCGCGGGTCTCTTTTTCCATGCTGCTGGGGGGGGATGAACGAGTCAAGGGTTGAGCCTTCACGCCCCAACTGCTCTGGTGCTTTCTGCTGCCTCTTCCCCCTAAATAAGCATTTTTCTGGCTTTTTTTTTTTTTTTTGGCTGTTCCTAAGTCTTGATGCCCAGCACAGTGAGTAGGGAAGATGGTGGTAGAGGAGGGTATGGAGCTGTGACGGTCTCAGCCAAACTCCCCCAGGAAGAGGGCTGCAGGATGGGGAACCTCACTGCATCTCCACCCAGGGCCATGTTCTTGGTTCCTCCCCAAGAGGCAGACCCAGATATTCAATAAGGCTCTTCCTAAATTAATAACGGAGTTGGAGTTTGTCCTCTGCCCTGGCACAGAGCAGCCCACATCTACACCACAAGGTCCCTCAGCTCCGGAAATGGGGCAGCCACATTCCAAACAGTGCTCACCCAATGTGGTCTCCCAGAGGAGGCATCAGGTGGGACCACGCTGGAGGTGGCAGGAGATGGGACCAACCTCTTGGGGACTTGAGGTCCCACAAAACATTTCTCCAATGAACACCAACCTGAGGAGACCCCAAAGGCAACAGGGGGTCTTCAGCTGAGCTCTCCCCCTCTCCCTGCAGTGTACGTCACGCTGGATGAGGACACGTCACACCCCCAGCTCATCCTCTGGGCGTGTGGGAAGACGGTACGGCATGGAGACACGCGGCAAGCCATGACAGATAACCCCGAGAGATATGACACTTATGACTACGTCCTGGGCCGGGAGGGATTTGTCTCTGGGAGATACTTCTGGGAAGTGGATGTGGGTATGGAGGAAAGAGGAGTCTGGGCCATGTGGATGGCCAAGGAGTCCATGAAGAGGAAGGGGTGGATCAACCCAGCTCCTCAAGATAGGATCTTGGCTCTTTTGCACTGCAGGGGCAAGTATTGGGCTCTGACCTCCCCTGACCACACACCTCTCATCCTCACCCAGCTGCCCCGGAGGGTTAGGGTCTACCTGGACTTTGAGGAACAGATGGTCGCCTTCTTCAACACTGACAACCAAGATCTGCTCTTCACCTTCCCGCTGGCCCTGTTGAGTGGGCAGAGGATCCGTCCCTGGTTCTGCATGGGGCCCATCACCCAACTCCACCTGAAGTCACCTCCTTCACCCCCATGTGTCCCCAACGTGGAGCAGCCTCTGGTCCCTTCGTGCTTCCCACTGCAGAGCCTCCCCCATGCATACCAGAGAGCAGGACACAACCAAGACGTGGAAATCCATGCTGCTGTCCACAATCAGACATGACCAATGCCCAAGACTCTTCCAGTTGGATTGTGCCACCACAGTGTCCCAAGACCCCTCCAGGCGCATTGCACCACTATGGTGTCCCAAGACTCTCCCAGTTAAGCCATGGTGGCGTCTCCACCCGAGCAGAGCCACCCTTGCTCCTTTTGGAGCTTGCAACAAGATGTCATGGTGGCTTAAGACACGTGTGTCTTCCACCAAGGTGATGTCTCCAAGCAAGCGGCTCATTCCTGGAGGTCCTTGGCCTTCAGTGATGGGCAGAGTCCAAATCAAGAAAGGTCTTGGGACCCAAAGGGTGTCAGAACCCACCTGAGATACAGGAAGGAAAACCCCACGGTGCCAACACCAAGATGAGAGCCTGGGAAGAAGGAGCTGTGCATCTCTCCCCTCTCGTTCTCCACTTCCTCTCCAGTCCCTAAAGTCTCACCAAACACGGTGTCATGGTTTATAAAGCCACAGGGAAGGTTTTTGTTAAACACCTGGTGGGCTGAGGCAGGGACAGGGAGGGTTTCACTCACCACTTAGGGTCACAGGCAAGAAACCGACAAGACTTAGGAAGAACAAAAAAACCACAATTGAATGTATTAACTATTTACAACAAGAAGCAAGATACTGAGAGAGAGAAATCACAACTTACAAAGGCATTTCTCCCCCACCCCTCCCTTCCTCCCAGAGCCCAAAGGCTTTGTTCTGTACGTTCTCACCCGGGCGGCGCAGGGGGCAGGGAATGGGGGGTGCAGTCAGTCCGCCACTCCTTCCTCCTCAGGGGAGGGCTCCTCACAGTCTTCCCCAGCTGCAGCGTGGGGTCCCTTCTCATGGGAGAGTCCTTCTCAAAAACTGCTCTGGTGTGAGTCTTTTTCCATATGGGGCCACAATCCCCTGACAACTGCCCAGCTGCGGCGTGGGCTTCTCCGTAATTCCTAAGTGGGGTCCTCCACGGCTGCATCTTCTCATGGGCTGCACCAAGGGACAAACCGTGTGTCACCATGAATCTTCACCATGCTGCAGGGGAAATTC